GATCAAGACTTGATCTTGCAAACTTGATCAAGACAAGGTCAAGGCGATCTTGTAATCTTGATCAAGACAAGATCAAGACTTGATCTTGTGATCAAGACTACGGAAGGTCGAGGTTAAAGTCAGGTTAAAGTTTCTTAAGGTTTACATAAATGAAGATACCAAACGGTGCCGCCATATATGGCTTATAAAAAGATAAATAGTATATGTTAAGTAGGCTTTCTAGCATACGCTCAATTCTAAGCTGGTGAGTAAGAACCAAGCTCGATAGACCCTTTTCAAAAGTTCACTGGACAACATCTGCGGCCTCCATTGCTTGGACACGAAGCGTGGGATTGGATCCGATTCCTCGCCGAACGCTGACGTCACACTCGTGCCAAATACAGGCTCAGAGCATGTGATCTAACAATGGCGGACAGACGTCGGAGCGGACTTATACTCCTGCATATAAAGCGTTACCTATACTAAAGTTCTAAACGAAAACAAAAAACGTTTCGACGTAAAGAATTAGTGAGCGACAAACCAAAAACAGCACGCCCATATTCCGTTAAGCTGAGACTGCAGTCAAAGGGAGCTACCCTGCGCTCCTGGTTTCGAGACGTGCGCGCGAGCGCTCGTTCTGTGGAAGAACGCTTGAAAGCAGCGACCTCGAGCTTTCGCGCTTGTGGCAATGGCAGCAGTGTCAGTTTAAGGGCGAACGGAGTTGCAGTCTTTCCCTGGAACTAGTACTATCCTGCTAATGCGCTATATGTATTGCCAGGATCCAAAGTATATTTCAAGTCAACTTGATAATCTTTTGAAAGCCCAGCCCATTTTATATAGAATTAACGAATAACAAATAAACACTTCGTCTTGCAATCAATAAAAGCCACAGTCGGAAGTAACAAATACATATTTTGACAACTTTGTAAGAGTTATCAAAATGTTTAGCGACTATCAAAATTTGCGCTTCGGGCGAGTACAAATTTTTCTTTCGTGTATTGATAAACACACTTCCTTAGTTTAAAGAAAAAAATTGTTTTCCTTAATTTCTCAGTTTCAATACCTACATAGCATTTGTCAAAACACCTCTGAAATATCTAGAGGATAACCAAATGAAAATACTGACGGCAGTTGATTACTTTATCGGTACGTTAGTACGCAGAGTTTTCTACCATATATATGTATATATATTTATTTATTTATTAACCTAAAGATGAACGGTAGTGATTGAGTGCAGGCCCTGTTTTTCTCATTTATAATATTGTGATGATGAATGCTAATTATGACAGGCTGCCTCATTAGAATCGTTATTAAGTGGCTACGTAATAACCGGAAAATAATGGATTGGTTCATAACATGTCACGAATGATTAGACGTACATGAAATGAGTTTATTTTGTCTACTTTTACGATTATATATAGCGTCTTTATCTTAAACATTTTTGGATCATTAATATCACAGACCTTGACCTTGCGTTCCTTAATCTTCGGCAAGTTAATTGAAAAACTGGATTGATTCACTATATCGAACAGGGCGCAGCTTGCTGGGAGGGGCCAAGGTACATAGCTATTTTTGTGTGCTTAAAATGATTTATGCGATCTGAGGTACCTGCAGTAGGAATTCTGATTTGTTATTTCTGGTTGTAAATGCGCGATGACCTCGTTAGGATTCAATGATTTTTGTTCTTTTGTGTCACTAGCAAACACGTTGAAAATGGATAAAATATTTGGAGTGTCCGACTTGCGTCAGCTTCGTGATAGCTGGGTTTAACTATGCGACAACTATTGCAGGAAATATTGTCTAATTAGCAGTCTTGTGGATCGAAGTGACACCGACAATCCAGAAGAAATAGTGCAACTTCTACCTTCGGCGTAAAATTTACGTAAGTATTCGCTTCAAAAATGCATTTATGAGTTGCGTATTGCACGTCCACAAGAAGAAAAAAAAACGCCAACATCGACCACAGGTACTATAAAACGTCAACTATCTATATATCTCTATGAATATGATTTGCGGCGGTAGACATACAAAGTTAGTAAATAAATTCTGAAATGCATTTCAGCGGAGATGACGCCAAGTGCATAAAGATCAAAAACCAATAAATGAGTTTTCCGCATGAAGGTGTTATATAATTGTATTTTCGGAATGGGATAAATTACATTATGATGTTTGCGAGAGTGTCTTGTTTATTTTATCAACAGCATTTGAAGTTCGCTGTATATAAATTGCGCGTCAGGTGCTCTTATTACATCTACAGCCATCCATATTTATCAAACAAATATGCGTGATCTTACCCACAGCTTGTATGGAGCATACGACAAAAAAACATGGGATCTGTTATTTTGCTTGTTTGGAGTATGTAACTTTACAAAGAACGCATAAAAAAAACGGCTAATTCATAAAGAAAAAAAACTCTCTAAGCAATTTTAAGAAACGAGAATACATTTTTGCCAATATCTCAAAGGCGACAAACCTCTTAAGCCGGGGCCACACTGCTTATACATCATACAAAAGACAGTCTGCACACAGACTCCAACGCAAGTCACCGCGTGATCCGTGCTTCGAATGCCGCATGGCAATCAGTTCAAGGAGAAAACTTGTGCAGGCGGCATTCCAACACCGAATATTATGGTGACTCGTGTTTGCAGACTGTCTTTTGTATGACGTACGAGCAGTGTGACCACGTTGCTAAAAAACAGCAATAAACTTAAGCTATACTAATTGTCACATCAATGAAAAAAAACTAAGTTCTTTGCGCATTACTCTTGCACTGAGCGAAGTAGCTCTTCCAAGGTTTAGTAGTGGACGAAAGAAACGGTGATTTTGTAGATTGTAACATGTACGTCTTGATAACATGGCATAAGCCTAATCTAAGATGCGTCTACAGATACCGTAATTCAACACATAAATGAGAAATTTCCGTTTCACAAGGAGCCGGCTTTTTTTTTTTTTACTGCGGTTTTTGATCTGAATACGACCATGGATTTTAATTAAATATCCCGGGTTATAAATCAGACCAATGAGCATCAATTAGTTTATTCTCATAATTACATATTGTTTCTCGAACGGGTTCTAAGGGGCGGATGTAAAAAAAAAGCGTGGTATGTGGTGCAGCTTAAACTTTTTCTAAGCCCAAACTCACGGGTCATATCTAAAGTTAAACCGTGTTTACACAGAACCAAACCGGATTAATTGGAAAACCCACACTAATTACTTAAAGCGTGTTAGCGTGATAGCTGACAGATGAATCGCGCAAACCGTTTAGCAATAAACACAACGAATTATCTTTAATGGTAGTTGTATCCTAGTTTCCGGGTGCTAATGAAACCAACCTAAGCATTGCCGGTAACGATGGTCTCGCACCATCCAGTTATGTTTTTAATTATGTCGGCTGAAAACCTTGAAACCTTTAATGACGTCGGATGGGAATGCTGACAGCAAATTCGTATCATTCTCAAAATGCGAGAAACCCCCGTGATTAGCCACTCCGTCGGAAACCACGCTCGATTTTACAATCCGCCAGTCACTTTTATCAATGTTTAGATGCATGTTTGATGGATTTACCATTCGTCAAAGATCCAAGGTAAGGTATCCTACCACCATTTTATTTGTATAAAATGGTAGCAGTATACTTTACCTTGAATTTTCATTGAATGGTAAATCCATCAAACATGCATCCAAACATTGATAAAAGTGACTGGCGGATTGTAAAATCGAGCGTGGTTTCCAACGGATTGGCTGATCCCGAGGGTTTCTCGCATTTTGAGAATGATGCGAATTCATTGTAAGCGTTCCCATACGACGTTATTAAAGTTTTCAAGGTTTTCAGCCTTGAAAGCCTTTCAAAAACATTTTCCTTGGGGAACATTTTATTATTTTTGAATAAAGAAACTTCCAAAAAGTGCCTAGATTTTTTAGGATCGTTTATCCATTTGTGTCGGGAATAGCTTACGTGTTTCGGAAACTTGATAAGATTAATATAGTGTAGTGAAAAACCCGTGGCGCCGATGGGACATTATTATTTGAAGTAACTTTCAATTTGTAGCAACTGTTTTTAAGGATTACCTACAAATATAAATTATGGTTAACGTCATTCACTCAAAAACTCAAATATAGTTAATTATATGCCAACTACTTTTTTGACGAAGCAGAAAAATAGTATTGGCCATTCAGAGTTCACTCCTGATAATGTGAGAAGTATGACGCCAAAATCGGCAGGAATCTAAGCACATGCCGATCCCGCTAACGTATACATTTTAAAATATGCAATAGTAAGACTCAATCTACCGAAGAAACGTCAATATTAAAATAGCAGCACCTTCGCTCTGGTGAGAGAGAGAAAAAAAAACATGTTTATTGGAAAGATTAAGAGGTTATCCCGCGGGAATTTGCAGGATCGCTACTGTTGCTTCATATTTGTCATTTCGTTTCACTGATCCTAGGTACTGAAGTCAAATACACTGGTAAATGCCAGAGATCAGAAACCCTACGAAGAAGTGAAACGCCGCTGAGTTAACATGAAAAAAGTCATAGTCGAAGTCGCATTACTAGTACTTATGGCAGAACAAAATATCGTCATCTCTTCATTGTGGACTTTTCTGATATCAAAGAAATCGTTCAAACAAACTCACGCAAAAAAATAAACCAAAGAAAAAAAAATTGGCGATAAAGCAACAGCATTAGATCGCAAGAATTATAATATGCGTTTAAGTCATTTAATTTGTAACATCGATTATGGTCAGGAACGCAGTTTCCATGGCCGGTATCTATAATAAGCAGTAATATAGTTTTATAAATATACAAAAATATGATGATAATAATAATAATAATAAACACCGATGAATCAATCAGATCACTGCTGATATCATCTACTCCAATCTATTAAAATATTAATGGGTGCACATATGCATGCATTTTTTCAGTAAAATACCCGAAACCCTGAGTACAAATAATTTCCTAGTTCAAAATTAAGAGAACACAGTGCAAATGAGACTAGTACCTTCGAGGAACTGTATACTCACTTGCAACTCCGGACCGAAGTCGGTATCCCCAGCGCCCTGTCCACAGAAGCACACAAACACAACTCAAGCTCCACGTCCCAGGCTGCTAGGGTTACTCCTCGTGGCTTCTAGCCAGAGCGGACACCTCTTCAGGAGGTCCTAGAACACACCAAGACACCAGTGGCGCCTGACGCACAACAAACCACCGAACGCTAGGGGACGTTCTAGTCCGCCCGAAAAAGCAGACGTCCCGCAAGCACACGCACTGACATGGCAACAGCGCAAACAAAATCCACGCTCTTCACGCCTCAACGTCGACTCGGCGACTGACTGGTCTGGCGCGTTCGCTCCCTCACTCGAAACACAACACGGCAGCCACGCTGCGGCGTCGGCGAAGTCCGCGAGCGAGGCAGCCTCAAGAATTGGCCCCATTACCAAACTGGCCGGGAGAGGGTAGCACCTGGAATGCAGCAGACCCCCCCCCCCCCCTCCACCCTCCATATTCGCGCGCGTAACAGACCCCCCCCCCCCTTTTTTTTTTTTCTTCTGCCGACCCCCAAACCTGTCATGTGACGTCACAGTGGGTGCTTCTTACCGTTCGGCGGTGCATGGACCTGATTCGGTGGTGGATACTCTCCTCCTGTTGTCGTGATTTTTTTTTTTGTGACTTGTTGATGCTGTTGGTATTGTTGCCGACTGTTAATAATGATGTTTTCTTTTTCTTTTTTTCTTTTTTTTGTCTTTGTAGTTGGTGGACACTCTCCTGTTGCTTTTGTTTCCGTAATTTTTCTCGTTGCCCGTCGATGCTTTTGGTATTGTTGCCGACTGTCGATGATGGTGGTGGTGGTGTTCTTTGTAGTTCTCGCTTCTTGCCCACCTAGCGCTCGCTGGTCGCCCCAGCTTCTTTTTGAACTTCTTGAGGGTGGAGACCTCTCCTCCGTGGACTCGTTCTGAGGTCATCGAGGTCGCACGACCCCTGAACTCTGTTGGCTTGAGGGAGCCGCCAGTCGCCTCCCTGCGCTGCCTGCTCGTTCAACACGGAAATTAGAAGCCCATCTCTTTGCCACTGATGTCCCGCTCCGACGCGGGATGCCGTTGTTATCGGGACTGGGCCGTGATTAGTATGCGTGGTAGCTTCTTCGCCGCCCCGAGGGAACCGACAAAATTGAAATAACCGAGCGTACTGAGACCCCGTCAGGTGAGATTCCAGGTATACAGTTCAGCAGTGTTGAGTGGTCACAGCGTTCTCTGTAAAACGCGCTGCTTGGTTTGGTGCATGGCAACGCGTGCTGTTTACAAACAAGCCCGAGCCCGCGTTTTCTCACACCAAGTGTGGGCGCACGCACGTGCGCAGAAACGAGATTCTCGTGAGGTAAAGCGTCTGTGCGTGCGCCGTGCCGTCCGCAGCGCCACAGCAATGGCATGACGCTAGAACCGCGTGTTGGTGCACGTGTGAGGTTGTCAAACAGATTTCTTTTGAACCACTAACGGGCGACAATTGCTCGCATTGCTTACTTTCTAAACTAATAACTTCTTTACGTATTTGCATACTGCAACTTTACAAAAGAGAGGTGGAGGATCGATGGCCGAGTGTGTTGACGCACCACAGCTCGGAGCACGTGGAACAAAAGCCCGCGCTGCAGAGCCCAGCGGTTCGATCCTAACCCCTGCCCGTTTCGATCTGGACGAACATCGCGTCTGAGTGCGGTCGTGCGATAACTACTGCGTGATGCGCTTTAAAGACCCGATACTAGCAACACCTGGGGCTACACTGGCTGAATTTCTCATATATGGCGGAGACATGCACCAGCCAGCCACCGTGCTGACTACGTTCCCCTTGTCTAAACAAACACTTAACACAGTTTGGCGAAACCCGATGGACGTATTGGCGCGTAAACAAAGCTCTATGTGCGCGTGACAACAGTTCAGAACACCAATGTCACCGGTGCCTTCCAGGCGAACGACAAGGAGCAGACGATTCACTGTATACTCGTTAGTTAACTTATGACCACAGCCACTGACGCCTCGCGAAGTAGTAGTTCTCATTTTTGGCTGTCAGAGAACAAGAGGATGCTCTTTGCACATAAAAGTTCTGTCTTAAAAATAAAATGTTTAAGTGCAGACACAGCATACCATTATATGTCTCCTCCCCCGAAGCTCTCTCCCACCATGACTGGTATTTTCCTTCTCTCCACTCGCCTCTTTTCCAGCGTTCGCTCTGATAATATAAAAAGTGAAACATTTCTAGGCGCTGACTTGAAAATTGAACCGCCATAGGCTCGTGGAAAACAGCAAAATTTACCCGACCTTGTCCACAGGGTTATTACAATCACTAGCCTGCAGCCCAGCATTCCTCTGCCGTCTGTGGTTCAATTTCATCACAGATTCGACCTCATTACAGGCAAGGCGCCGCTGGATTCTGCGGTATGGCTCACTGCCACATATTATTGTTATTATTATAATTCCACGTCTTTCTGTTTGCTTTGACTTCGTTTTCATTTTGGAATGCTTGCGCTGACGTTTACGCATTCTAGGGCATCATATCATGCCCTTCTTTGGCTATTGATGTTGACGTTCCCGTACTTACGCCTCCCTTGATACCATGTCTACAAACACATTATTAAAGCGATAGCGTTAAGGAGCTTGTGTCACAAAAAGTCCGGCGTCGGTGGCGTGACGAGAAAATCACGGACGCAAAAATCCTGACTGGCCAATAGGGTCATGACGTCAGAGTCACATGACCTTGCGCGGGAATTTCAAACGATCGACAACGCTCACGTGAAACGTGACGTTGCGGACACTCCATAAAGGAATTCATTTGCCTTAAAGGATATTTTGAAAAATTTTGGCCGAGATTCGAGCCCACGACCCTTCGGTTGCAAGCCAGACACGCCGCTGACTAGGCCACGCAAGGCATTTTTCTTTTTTTTATTTCGCACATAAAAGCAAACTGCCCAGGTCCATGGGCAGCCGTGGGTTAAAAATCTTTAATCTGTGGCACATTGTCTAACACAGGTATTCACTCAAGCACATCATTCCCATTCAGATCGTATACACTCGTCAATGGGTCACGAATTCAGTGAAACACATAGGTACAGTTTCGGATTGGGCTTCGCATGGCATACCATCATCTGCGATTTCTAGAGGCCGAACAAGGCCAAAACCGTTATCACTATCAGGAATGTCGTCATCTGTGTTTAGTGGAAGAAAACGAATGAAGTGCGAAATTCTTTTTTCAAAGTGCGTTGAAGCACATCCCACATAAAGAGCGCATCCCAACAATCAATGAACACATGTTCAATTGTTTCTGCTTGTTTGCACAGCAAGCAGTTAACACCCTATACACCATTATACCCCTTTCTCCCATCCACACTTTAACAGGTAATGTGGCGCTTTGCAGACGAAAAAAAAAAAAAAAAAGAACGATTTAGCCAGCAGGGGGCCCATCTTCTTCACTCGAACTAGAACATCTTGACCATCCCCTTCTGCATACATGGTGCGATATAGCGGTGCGGGAAAAAAAGACTGTCAATGAAGTCACAAAACAGTTTTATTTATTTTTTGTTGTTGCTGTGGACAAGTACTCAAGCGATTAATGCACCGTTAAAAAATCAAAATCACTCACAACTTCTTTAACAAAGTCAGACATTTTTGCCGGGGGACCAATGCGTGAAGAGACAACGAAGGATGGCAAACGCGCCCGCCAGTCTCGTCTGAAACATGACCTGAAGAAATGGGTTTTTCTAATGTCTCAAATAAAGAAATCGTGAAACAATCTGACAAATAAACATGTGCGACAGTTCTATTTCACAATAACAGGTTCATCGAAACAGATTATCTCGGCAGATTGGTTCCGCCACACTTTTCCAGATGAACACTGCAAAAACCCTGTGCATTTTATGTAACCTGGTTCTAGCGCAGTGCTGTGTCCAATAGTGATCATAATTTTTCACGTGCTGGAGGGGTAGACCAATGTATTTACTAGGCACGCCCAACTCCATTGTATTCCTTCACAATATAACGGTGTTGCGGCCCATTCACCATGCTATACACCCGCACATTTGTTTCTGTTTACAGCAGCACCTGTTGAGCCACAAAGCATGTTACACAATTCTAAGGCATTTGTAACACTATCTCTGGTGATACAAATGACAGAGGTGTCTTTCGCATAAGCCATAACTTTTGTTTCCACGTCACCCATACAGACACCTCGTACACGTTCAGACCGAATAATGCTCAAACAAAAGGGCTCTAAATAAAGCGCATACAAGAGGGGAGGGGACAGTGGGGCATCCCTGCCGCATGGAAGAACGAACGCTTATTTTACAAGTCAACGAAATGTTTGTCACTAACTGCGTTGTACAACCGTTTTAAGTCCTTTTAACTCCTTCCAGAAGAAGCTGGCCAACGTTAGCTCGGATTGCTATCTCCCAAAGTACTTTGTGACATACCCGGCCAAGTGCTATTTCTAAATCAATCTAAATCATCGCGACCGGACTCCTCTCATCTGACGAACAGTTCAATAGTCCGCGCCACGTGGATATTAGTTTGGATCGACCTACCTTTAATGCCGCGAGTATGGTGCTCACCGACCAGGTGAGCACACTGCAGTCTTCTGGCTAAAATCCTTGTAAACATTGTATAACCCACGTTGCTCAGAGCCATGAGTTTATTCCCACTGACACGCTGACGGACACCCTCCTCATTCGATTTGGGGATGAATACCGTGTGCGACTGCAAGGAGGGCGTCAACACGACGAGCTCATAGCTATTTTGTAGTTTATCAGAGAAAACGGGAGATATTTCTTTTTCAAACGTTTGATGAAACTAGGCACGAAGGCCATCGGGTTTAGGAGTTTTATGGGCCACCAAACCATCAATCGCGTGTTCTATCTCAGGCAGCTTAAAAGGTTGTTCCATTCTTTCTGCACTCTCTTCCTATATCTCGGGTGCTATCTGAGTTAGACTCCTTATACCTGTAACATCCTCGGGCATTTCCTGGCCCCCAAATAAACTATCGTTGTACCCAAGAAATGTGAGTTCAATAGCGTCTTTATCGTGGCTGAGAAC